AACTTTGATTAAAATATAATATACAAACAGAAAAAAAAGTAATTATGAAATAGTTTTCTCAATGGATCCCACATATTTATTTCCTTCAGTTTTCCTTTCATGTTAAGGTTGTTGTTATTTTCCCCCTTTATGTTTGTCAGTAATTTTCATGCATGTAACTTTAGTAATAAGTGAAATAAATTTATTCATAATATCAGACAGTAAAGATCCTTATTCTATCAAAGTAACCACTTCAATTCTAACAGTAAAAAAAAAATTAGAGAGAAGTACTGGTACTCATACAATTGTTCATTAAATGTAAGCCCTATAATTCAATTATAAATGAAATTAATTTCATCTTATCTAAAGCCCTCCAGTTTGAAAAAGAAAGGTGCTTTGCTTGTAATTTGAAGAGACGGGGTTTATTTCATAAGGAGATAGTACATCATCAAATATAATGAATTATATACTGTTGACCTATTTTTATTTTCACTTGTTGATTGAGAATATACATGCGGCATAATAATGAAGGTGTCAGAATGGAATTCAAACATGACTAAAATGTAAATTAAGAAAACAAGACAAGTTAGACCCAAATACCAAGAGAAAGTGTTTAACCATAAATAAGTAATTGGCTTCACCTTTCACCATATTTATTTTCTCTGTTCAAATGAAACTCAAAAGCATTTCTCCTAAGGCTGTAGTAACAAAATGTAAAAAAGAAAAAGAAAAAATATTCTGAACAGTAACTTGACAAATGATAAGCAGTCATCTTAGAGGACAGGACAGGTGAGACTTCAGCCATGGGATCCAGCATTAAATTGTATACACACACAGGAGTATTATAAAGGCATAAAAAGGGCTCAAGAGAAAATATGTCTGGGTACAATGCAATGAGAACTAGGAGGAAATAAAAGGCAGAATGTGCTTAAGAACTTCTTTGAGCTGAGAATTTCATAAGGAATGAAAAAGAACTAGTCAAAATAACTTGAGAACAGAGATTGCTGCAGCCCAGAAAGTGATATAGGAAGGGGATTTTTGGCAACAGTCTTTGCAATACACTGGTAGAAAGAACACTCCAAAGTAGAGATAATAAAAATACAACAGAGATTTTACTTTTGAGATGGATAGGGAGAAGAAGTTGGTGGGACTGTAAAAGAGAAATATGAAAGGATTTACCCAAAGTCCAGAACAAACAAATAGAATTGAAGATAATACATACATAGCTGAGACTGAAGGAACTGTAAGGTATCCTTATAATAATTTCTGATAATTCCCTTCCAATAAGAGTAAAAATTGTAATATTAGTTGCAGTATATCAATTATCTCTATAATTAAAAATAACGAAGATGTTTTATAGTAGCAGTAACCTCTTGTGTATCAGAGGAGACTCATTCTCCTTCGGGTTCTTAGTGACTGATTGTTTGGAACTAGATTGCAGGCCTTTCTTCTAAGGTGCCTCTTGGTGGAATCTAACTGCCCAACTTTCAGTTAGTAGCT